ATCCTACTCTTGTGACGCAAATTCTACTCTACATTGTATTACTAATACTATTATGTAAGTAATTACGGATCACTTTGCAATGTAGAGTAGAATTTGCGTCACGAGAGTAGGATTTCATTTTGGATTTTCATTGGTAGTCGTTCAGAATCCTGCTTGCCCTTGTTTCCATTACTTTTTACAAACTTGCTCTAGAATCCTACTCCATCTTTTTTTTTAATTATTATGTTCTTGTTTGTGTCGATTTTTAAATAATATTTGTAATAATATTTCTTCAGATAGTGTCCATTGCCATTCTGGTGAATAGTTAATTCTGTACTGATTATTGTTTAGTGAAAGCTGCTATAATTATATCTATTGGCTGTGCTACCCATCTAAATTCCACTTTGAGCCTATCATTTTCAATTTCTGATTTTATTTGCCATCATTGTTAATTCTCTTTTTCCTTAATTGTTGATTATTTATTTATTTATGTATAATTATGATCTTTATTTATATATATTATATGCATATTTTTATTTATCCATTTATTCATTTTCCCTTTTCTTTTCTTTTCTGATTTTCTGGGTGCCAGCAGCTCTTGCTGGTAGTCCTTCAGATGCTTCCTCTGCTCTCTCTCTCTGTTCTGTACTATGTCAAACTACTTACTTTATGCATCTTGTAAAATTATAATTAAATTTAATAGTAGTCTTGACATGAGTCCTTGTTCAAGAAGCAGTGAGAGTATCCATCTTCCTTGCAATCCTGTCCTGTGTTGTTCCTGTTGTCAAGTTCATGATCATTGTTTAACATTATTGTTTGTAATTTTTTTTAAATACAATTTATTAATTATTTATTTTAATAAAACAATGATATCTAAGATTAAATAACTTCTCTTAGCTAGAACTGGAAGCCTGGAACCTCCACTAAGTATTGCAGTTGATCCAAGCATTGCTAGGTAAAAAATTACTTGCTTTTCCTAGTTCTGAGAATGAGATCTGAGCATGCGCGACCACACCCAAACTTTGGAGCACATATATATATATATATATAATCTGTTTTACAGCAGATTTCACTTGCATTTGAACACTGAGTATTGCATGGAGATCATGTGCGCCTAATAAACCATGCACGGAAAATGAATGCAGTGTTCAAACGGAAGTAAAATCCGCTGTATTTAACAAAATGGCGGAATGAGGTAAGTTTTGACTGATCATACAGTCATTTTGTCACTTCTTCCTTTCCTGGAGAATGAGGTGATGGGACATGGACCTGCACATTGACTATTGGAGTAGAATGGTGCAAGAATTAGCCTTCTAGCACCAGCCAATATTGAGATACACACCGACAACTGGATTGACAGGAGATGATGATGATGAAGACGACTGAACAAAACGGCTGTTTTGCTGATTTTTGATTTTCCTTTTAGACAAGGTTTAGAGCCATGCTAGTGGTACCAATGGAGTCCTCTGGTCAAGATAAGGTCCTCTAAGAAGTCTGGTAAGCATAGGAGCTCATTTTCCCGGTATAGCAAGGCTGCAAAAGTCGTGGCAGCCATATTGTTTTGGGGTGAATCCTACTAATTAGTAATGCTACTGCGTTACTAATAAATCCAATTTTGATTTGAATCAGTTCACACTTTCTACACAACAAAAGTTGTATTGCTATTATAATAAAAGCAATGATGGTTTTTGGCTCAATTTTTGAGCATTTGTAAAAAATCAAAAATTAACATTGGTAGAAATTAACAAAACTTTCTATGCTATAAAAGCAGAGCAATATATTGTTTAAAATACTATTTCAATAAAAATTGAAAAGGTTGTGCTTTACACTTTTTGCCTTTTCTTTTTGAATTTTTTTTATAGGAATAGAATATGCATTATTTTATACTGTGACAAATGACTATGCTCTAAAATTAGTATAAATTAGCACTCATTTTTGCTTAATATTAGGCTTATCTTGATGAAATCAATACATCTTCTTGTATGGGACTTTTCAAAGAAATTATAATTGATAGGACCATTGATGGAGAGGTTTGATATTATTACCATTAATCTAACATTAAATTTTATTATGTTAGGCAATATTAGACAATGTATTTATCATAGCTGCTTGTAATCCTTTACGTGGAGACAGCACAATTCATTTACAGAATGTAAAGAATGTTTGGGTTAAGCCAAGTTATTATGTTCGTGAGCTTCATCCTACAATTGATTATCTGAAATGGGACTATGGAGCATTAAATGATGTTCAAGAAGTAGAATACATCACTGCTAAAATGAATGATTGTACTAAAGATCAACCTGAGGCTTTTACTTCTGGTCAATTAACTTATTTCATTGTTGAAAGCCAAAATAGAATGAGGCAATATGCTAATAAAATGTTGGCAAATAAAGGAGTTCATGTATTGGAAGCCATGAAGTGTTCTAGAAGTTGTGTTAGTCAAAGAGATATTCAGCGAGTATTTGATTTCTACAAGTGGTTATTTGGTACATACAAAGCCTTCCAACGCTATACAACTACTGAAGAACAACAGATACGAGCATTACTAGTGTCACTGGGCTTAGTATACTATTTGAGACTACAAGAATTGGACAGAGAAAGTTATGCTGAATTTCTGGACATTCAATGTAGAGACCTGCTAGTTCGATGTAACTTTACTACAGCTTTCAATGATGAATTAGAATGGTACATAGAGAGAATGAATCTACCTCCTGGAATAGCCAAAACTAGAGCTTTGAAAGAGAACATATTTGCTAATATAGCTTGCTGTCAAACACACACTCCTCTCATTATCATTGGAGAGCCAGGAACATCAAAAACACTATCATTTAATTTAGTTAGTAGCACCTTCAAAGGAAAGTCCTCTAAAAATGAAGAATTGAAAAATACAGTTGCTTTTCATGCCTTACAGCCATTTTTTTATCAATGTTCAAAACATACTAATTCAGTTGAGGTTGAAAATATTTTTAAGCAGGCAATTAAACGCCAAAGGGTCTTTGCCAGCTCTAATGTTCCCACCTTTTGTGTTGTTTTTATGGATGAAGCAGGTCTACCTGAAGAACGTCATGAGTCACTTAAAGTTTTACATTATCATTTAGACAAAAGAGAAGTATCTTTTGTAGCTATCACTAATCATGCACTGGATGCTGCTAAAACCAATCGTGCCATCAGTCTCTATCGCCCTGAAACATCAACTGAAGATCTTAAAATATTGGCTAAAGATTTGCTTCGTACATCTACAGCTATGACAATGAAGAGTGATATTATTAATAAGTTTTGTTCATCATTCAGTGCAATGATGGAAGATCCAAAGTACCAAAATTTTTATGGACAGAGAGATTTTATGCACTTTATAAGTTACATTAGAGGAAAACGAGGTGCTGGCTTTCTTACTGAAGATATTGTTCTTCAAGCATTGGAGAGAAACTTCAATGGGCATGAAAATTTTTCTGAAGTTTTTGACTACTTTTTGAAAGTGGTAGGTTGAAATTGTTACAATTACAAATTTTACATATTTGCATGATATTCCAATTACATAAATAGCTTATTTCTTTTTAAAAATTGTATGAGGTATAGATCTATTTATATGCATCAATTTCTTTTGAAACTGAGAATGATTTTGTTTAATCTGATACATAACCCTATAATGTACAAAATTTAAAATAAGGCTTTTTACACTGTTGATAC